AAATTATTTGTCTTTTGGTTATTGTCTTAAACCAAAATAGTATTAGGTTTATTATAAAGAAAATTTCAAATATAGTCAAACCTCTTTATAGTTATCTTCTTTATAGTTACAAAATTGGTATAATTACAAATTTATTTTTACTAATTATTTATAATTATATAAAAAATATTTTTATATTGGTCATACCTTTTTATAATTATAGTTTTTTGTATCTCAAAAATATAATTATAGAGGTATTTGACTATAACTTCTAGCCATTTGATATTATTTTATAAAATATATTTCAAATAAATAGATTAAAATTGCTAGATATAAATATATAAATAATCTATTCTTAGTATTATATATTAAAGAAAGCAGGTTTTTTCAAATATTGTTTGATCATATCTATTATTTTATCTATTTGTTAGAATAAATTATTCAAGCTATTAGCTAATTATATATTTTTTTTTGATATTAAGGTGATCTCTCGGTCACATATCTTTATTCAGTTATAGTTATAATTTTTACAGTATGATTTTCATACTATATATATATTTGAAGAGTATAACTAGCCACATATACAACTTTGGTTGCCTATTTAAGTAGCAAGTTTAAAGTTCGATTTTCACTAGAGACATTTTTTAAAAAATAGGTCTGTGTTCTAGTAATATTTATTCAACAATCAGTTGGGTATATCATTTGTAACTTTGATATTACTATCTTAAAATTGAAGCTTTAGGGTGATCTAAATCCAAGAAACCAGAATATTTAAAACCCGTTTGGCAAGACCCGAGCTAGGAGTAGTGAAAATCTTTAACAATATTACAGAAAACTGGAACCAGAGACTGAAAAACTAGATGAATAATCCTGGGACAAAAAAGGTTCACCAGCCTAGCTACCAGAATCACACTAGATGAAAAGATTCTATGCTACAGAATTAGAAACCAAGGGAAGTAAAACCAGAAGGCACTTAGAGTCTAGATACAATAACCTATTCAGACTAACTGGTTTGGTAATCAGGAAAGGATCAGTATAAGGGCCAGTTAAAAGTGGGTATTGGGATCAGAATAAATCTTGTAAGGGTAAGAAGTAGATAACAGTAATAATGATAAAGACTACAAGTATTAATTCTCGAATTGGGGTGTAAGTTACTGAAAAATCCAGGTGATACATATGTAGAACATAGACTGCTCTGGTAGGTTTACTGTAAGAATAAATTAGTTCTAAAGAGCTTTAGCGACAGGAATTCTTCTGGGAAAAGCATTTGACGATGCTAAGTCGATCAGAGGGTTTAAATAGAGAATCCACAAGTAGATCTTAGGTATGGCAATTGGCGGGTAACTATAGATAAAAATAGATATAGCAGAGCTCTTAATTAGGCAATGACTAAAGTTGTACATGTGACCAATTATACTCTTGTTGATGTAACAAAGTCAAGAGACACCTATTCGGTATCCTGATAATTGAACTGTGAAGTTAATAAATCATGCCAGACCCCCAAGTAGTCACCTTAATATATAAAAAAAAAAAAAGACTTTATAATACATTCTGAAGCTTATAAAAATACAAATATTAGAAATCTTGTTAAGTAATAAATTTCTTTCTCTTTTTAATAAGTTATTATCAGAATATTTTTGGAACTATTTGAAAGAATATAAAAAACCAGATAAAAGTTTAAAGAAAAAAGATATTTAGATATGGTTTAATAGGTTGATAAAAGTTTCAAATAATCAATAGGTATTAGCAACTACTATAAACATACATAAAGTCATTTGTTTAAATATCTATATGCTTGATATATACTGGTCAAAATATAATAAATTAAGCATATATCTATTTTAAACTAATTTATACTAATTTATATATTCGTTATAGCCCTAATTGATGCAAATTATAGATAATTCTGATCAATAGTACAAATCATATAAAATCAGATAGAGCTAATATCTGCTATTTATTATATTTCAGTTTACTAGTAATATTAATTATACTATTTACACTATCGCTAATTATACCTGCACTGTAATTAGACACCCCAGTACTACGTGTTGCAGCGCTGTACGGTAATTATTTTTAGAAAAATACAAATACATCTATCGTTAGATTTTTTTTAGTAAATTCTTCATGCTTAGATCAATTGGCTACGTACTGTAATACGTATCGAAATTCAAGTTTTTCTAAACCATCCCAGTTTTTACAAGTTTTAAACTAGAATAAGGTATTCTATAGACAATACGATCGATATTAATTAATAAATTTCAAATATAATATATAGTAATTTTTAGCGAATATACAATCATTAATATTATTTATCGTTATCTATTTGATAATATATAAATATATAAATGTCTTATTTTTCTTATTTCTGCAAGGTATTTAATGTAGGCACCTAAAAACAATATTTTTTTAATACCTCTAGAAAGTATACAAGGATTATGAATATTAAACCATTCATCTACATTTTTGATACTAATAAAATCTGTTAATGAAAAATAATTAAGATAAAAATTTCTGTAATTATTGTTAAGGATGTTCAAACTACACCCCTAAAATTAATTTAAAAATTATTAATTATAATTGAATCCGAAACCCTCCTCCCCAATATGACAAACTTTTAGAGACTCACTGTGGCAGTTCGAATTTTTTACCGTGCAATACTCTAAATATAGTTGAAACATATGTTAATAATGAATTATCAAATGGGTTGGTACAAACAAAATGAGATATAACCGAAATCGAGATTTCTATTATGTTATATCCTCAAGTGTGCCTTATTAATGGTAAAAATTTAATGCACATCAGTGCATTACAGTACTTTGCGTGGGTAACATATCGATATGTAATAAAATGATTGAAGATTGGTATTTACCGACTAAACTACCCTTTTTTTTTTTTTTTAATACCTCCATTTAAAATACTCGGGTAGTATACATGACTATTGTCATGGACAATACCCGGATATTTTTATATGGTATTATCTTTTATTCAATGCTTTGCAATGATTAGCCTATAAAATAAATCAATTATTTCATGGTATTTCTATACCGGGTGTTAGAAAAGTCACTAAACAGCCTTATGCAGAAATTATAATGACATTATATTGTAATTTTTATATAAGGCCATTGAAATAAAAAAAAAAAGGGACTATTTAGTGACTTTTCTAACACATGGTATAATAAAATTATTGATCTTATTTCATAAGCTGAAATAGTAAATCATCGAGAAAACCATTGCTGCATAATGCTACATATTAATTTCGGTGTTATGTATAATATGCCCATAAAAAAATACCCATCGATTGATAATTCAGGTAATTTGTACTAGACCCGGATCTTTTAGTCAGTGTACCATTGCATATATACAAAACTTGACTCTAAACTTCCTTTTGTTATGTATCAACCCAAATAAAAAGAAAACTCGATAATGAAACGAAAACTTACTTTGTGTAATAAATGTAAAAGAAGTCGCTATATAAAGCGGTCTGAAGTACACCAGCGACCCATACGATTAAATCCACGTGTCTTTCAAAGTAAAACCTCCAAATCCAATTCAATAAATAGAGGGCGCGATATGCGCCTAACGCAAACAAGTAATGAGTTGTAATAGTTTCTGCTTCTCCTGTACGAGATAACATAAAAAGCTGTGGAAGAATTGCAACAGATTCAAGATAAATCGAAAAGGTCCAGAGAACCTATAATGATAAATTATTACTATTATAGTATAATAAATCCTTATATATGTATATAAAAAGCGGCACTTTAAAATACCTCAATAAACGTAAAGGTATAGTTAAATACTAGTGACAACAATAAACATGCACCCAATAAAAACTCTACTCTAAAAGTGTCCTGACTAGGATCATACGTCGCTCTAAACTTGATTTTCATCAAATACAAAATATAAATTGATGAAGCGATAAAGAAGATTTTCATCAAAGTGTTATACAATGAAACCCATTTAGGAAGATCAAGATATCGAGTAACAAAAACTATTGCATAGAGAAGTTGAGTTTTAAAGGAAATTCCTAAAAAGAAAAGTATCAAAGTAATTTGAGAATTTTATGAATTAATATAATAAACGGTGAACAGTTTTAGTTACTAATCAAGAATTAAAATTCATTTATATCCGAGCGTTTGAATTATTCAAAAGGAGAAGACACCATTTCCTAAACTCTTGTCTTTTATGAACTTGTGATGACATGGTCACAAACGCTCTCATTAAACCAAATATTTTAAAGGCAATAACTTACCAGAACATGACCGCGTTTTCTGAATTTTTAGTAACAAAATGAAAATGGAACATAAGTGCATTAAATCTGCCGTAAGTCGGAAAACATTCATCTTTATAAATTAAAAGGAGTAACTATCGAAAAGAACAAACGTATTCAAAGTTTATAGTCTATCTAAATTGGACATTAAGAAGTTTCATCCGTAAAGAATCATTTTCCAATCATATTGCAGCAAATCTCAATTTGATATGGCTACCTAAAAATTGATACCAACTCGTTATTGTGTTATTGTGACAGGTAATAACTCGTATATAAAACTGGTCTAGGTAAACTCCGCGATTGAAAAAAATCGGTTTGATCTGGTAACTAATGTTTAATTGGCTAAAAAGTGCTAGATTATCAGTTAGACGGCCATCCACTTTGTTTCATATACGTAACGATTTAATAACTAAGATAAAAACTAAGCTAAAAAAGTGTCGGATTATTAGTTGAATGGACAATCACATTATCTCATTCTCTATAATGTATATTTTATATAATACCATATACGTGGCCAAAACTATTTCAGCTTATATAGTTACGAATAAGCCTTATAGCAATAGTTTCGTCGCAAGCCAAAATAATTTCAACCATATGTATAAATCAGAGATGTCTCGCATGAGATGATGGTATCATTTTCCTAACTAATCGAGGGTGAAATCACATGACCTTACGACCATAATCACTCTTCGTTTCTTAAAGGGCAACTTGTGCTAAAACTAAATCATTCTTAAATTTTGTTTAAAAAACTAACACACTTTTCGTATCGATATGAAATAAAGGTTTGCAGCCAGGATTTCATTACAGATTGTAATAGAATATGAGCATCGATCTGTAAACAGATTGTAAACGAAATCTTTTGATCATAACGATAAAAATAAATTGTACAAACAGCATCGGTATGAACGATATTATTACTTTTAAGTGAAATTTATTTATCCACATTATTTTACATAAATGGCTTAACTTTTGTTTCTTCTTATTCCCTTTATTTGTTGTAAGTATAACAGAAAATACAAATAAGAAATACATACGTACAAGCTCCGTTCATTTCTATATATATATATATGTATATATATATAATATGGAAACTACTTCTACGTAAAACAACCTGCATGCATAGTACTCTTTTAGAAATTATTTCTAAATTAGCACATTTCTAATGGCAAATTGAATAGAGCCACGAAACAAAAAAAAAAAACGCCGTAATAGAATTATAGCGATATCGATATAAACTCAGGGCATGTGAATGCGCCCTCGATCGGTGGTAGCGTTGGGTTCGCTATCTTCCGACGTGATTTCGTGATTCACGCGAATTACTAAGGTGATGAAATAATTTATCACTATTGGTGAAATTTAATTTAGAGCATGGAGAAAATCTTTACCCGGGTATCATCAAATTATCCGGGTAATTTATTGTAGCGATACAAAAATAAAGGCTGAAAATTATAGTTTTAAATGATCAGCATCACGTGTTCGGACAAAGATATGTATGTGAAATGCGTGCTTAGGTCTATATTAAAGACGTTTTAGGCGTAAGTTCCGACAAAAAGTAGTTAAAGTTGGCCAATAAAATTGCATAACGTATTAAATTTTTTAATTAATCTGATTGGTCATGCAGATCCTCTTGATTCTTGGTTTTACGAATTTCAATGGAGTTACTAAGCCTCATTTTTGGTCCATTGGCCAACCCTGGTCCCATTCAAATTGCTCATAAGTCCGGGATGATAAATGTTCTGAAATGACCCAAATGACAAATGACTAGTCATTTATCATTTCAAGGCCCAAATGACCTTAGAAGGTCATTTAACATATGTTAGTTGATATTCATATCTTTTAACCAATTAGAGTTGACCGCCAAGCAAAATTAAATTTTATAAAAATATGTTATATCGATATATCAAAATCAAAATTTTACTAAATCAATTAATAAATCTTTTCGTGTAAACGTAATATGCGAAAGTAAATTAATAAAAAGGTATTCTATTTGCATGAAATTCACGCGATTTTATTATCCCGAACAATTTAAGGCATAAATATTAATTGACTTAGTAAATTTTAATTTTAATATATAGCTACGATTATTGATTAGAAAAGTAATAAAGTTCTATAAATAATTCAACCAATAAAATTACTTTATATGCAAATGACCCAAATGACCTTAATGACCCAAATGACCTTAATGACCCAAATGAACTTATTTTGATCAAATGACCAGGCCATTTACCATCCCTGAATTATTTTGAGAGCTGAATGAAATAAGAATATTTTAATATTTGATATATCTGATAATGCTTGGTTGAATGAGATGTGAAACTGGTATAATCTTTAATTTGGTCGTTTGATTAAAGCACATAGCGATAATAAAAGGTCGTTTTAAAAAAATTTATCTGATCAATAAGTTCGGATTAACATTAATACTAAAATTTGTAAATCAATATATTTTCTTAATAAGTGATATAGATGTTAACAGCAGAAATTTTTTTCAGTTTTTAACAGCTGCCCTACCTTGTTTAGTGCGTCGAAAGTGCATCAAGAGTAGGGCTGTTGTTAAAAAGCTTGTCGGACCCGGTCCTTGAGTCGACTTCACACGAACTTTTTCAGACAAAGTCCCATATGTATGTCTTTTGTTCTAGAAGGGCATGCATGTGATTGGCTAATTTTAGAGCTTCGATCCTTAATCCGACTATCTGAATTG